TCCAAGACGAATTCTCCGGCTCAAACGGTTCTTGAGAAACTTCGAAAAAAGCAGCGTCACGTTATTCGATTTTGCAACTAAAAAAAAACACGCAAATTTAACATTTCTTGAATTCAAGCACTTTTTGAGAAAACTGCCAACATTTCCTTATCGATGGTTCACTTACTAAAAAGGCCATTTATTTCTCTCTAGAATGACGTACAAATGAGCGTTCTTGCTCATTTTGCTTCCGAGAAATGAGCAAAAACGGGACGAATAACATGGAGTTTTGGCATAATCTTGCACCTAAGTGTCTGATATTCAGATTTCGTTTGCTTGGTCAAAACTACTCGAATTTTCCCACTCATGTTGTTATGACTGAATCGAATTTTCAATTATCTATCCAACGATGCCAAAAATAATTTTTTAAATATAATTTTAGTAATTTGGTGTAACAAACAGTATTATTAGTGCTACACCCACATGTTAGAAGTTCTAACTGATTTAGTAAGTAATTTTGCACTCAACATTCTCATCAGTTGAGACTGCTAAACAGCGATGAACAAACAGCTGACCACTCCGCACTTATTGAAAAGAGATGATGTGACATTAAACGACCCTTAAGCGAGTTTCTAAAGGTGATTTTAAAACGACATGGCAATTTATTAGGGTATGATGGTGAAATATGGCGCTTAGTGGCTGGCTTTTTGATTCACAAGGGTGGTCGCTTGTAACTTACTTAACGTAGATGCAGAATCAGATAAAATTCGAAAATGGTGTCCTAAAAGATAAAATGAAAAGCTTTTCTCACTCAGCTTCTCACAATATCAATATGGGCTCAAAATATCAATTCGACGAATTTCAAAAGGACGTTAAAATGTGTAAAATTTTAATGAGACAGAATTTTAGTTGATTGTGATTCTGCACTATACCCAAGCCTTGCCACTAACGATCTTCAACGCAACCCTTCTCAACTAAAACTAAGTTAAAAAGTTTAGGGGAAATCGTAATCAAATTAATGCTATATTATAATCATCATTTTGAGCTTGCAATTTTTAATAAATATTTTCTTTTTTGCCCATTACAAATTAAAACATGTACTGTAATGGCCCCTTTTGAATGGTCCTGCTAAATGCCTGCAGCTATTGAATAAAATGATAAAATAAATTACGTTTATTTCAATCGTGGCCGCTTGTGAGTTAGGAAGAACATTGTGTGATCATCTTTTGATAATAAGGTATTTGATTTGAAGACTAAAACTCATATGGGTATCTACCTAATGCTTTTTATTTAATGGATATTAGATCCTATTAGGGTAATTTTAATCTTTTTAAAATTAACAGTAGGATGTATCTTAAGTAGTTTGGATACCTAAAAGGCGACGAGCTTCCGTTCAAAAGCTTAATATGCTTATTATCTTATCTAGTTACCAATGCGTATATGTATATTCATTTAATTTGCATTCTCATGATTTTTATTTCAATCAATTAAATTTAAATATTTGGTCATTATCGGATAAAAGACGATCATATATTATTTATATAAACTTTACTGTTTACATTTTTTACTTTACTCGCACTTTTTTTCATTAAATTTCACAATGCTGGTAGTTAATTCACGGGGCACTTTTGGCTTTTTGCTTCACATGTTGGGTCTCAAAACCTTTATAGCATCTTCGATTGCATTTTATCAGCTTTCATTAATGCTCGATTTATTATGACCTTGTCAGTTTCCTCGGATGTTTTGGATGTTGTTAAAACTATCCACTTATAGTCTTAATATCACTTTTATGAGATATTTCTAAAATAAAGCAGTAGAGCGCACAAAACAAAAACCTATATAGATAAGTTCTATATTGTTGAGGCGGATTCATTTTTTACAAACTTCTTTTTGGGTATTTCGCCTCAAAAATTTTTGTCTTTAAAAAAGACAGAATTTCCTCACGTCTTTTATTACAGATTGATAAATAGTGCTCCTATTTCGCAATAAGAACGAATTATTTATCAAAAAGTAATCAAGAACTATCACCTAGAGGGTATCCTGCGACACACTTAGGCTCAAGCTGTAAGAGAAATTCCAATTAGTAGAGAAATTAATTTGAAAAATTACCTTGACGTTTCGATAGCTATTTTCTGCTATCGTTATCAAAAGAACCTAAATGAACCT